TAGCAAAGCACCTTGACGTCGGGAAACGGACTTTCACGGAGTATTTTAGATTCGAGATTATTTTTGTTAAAACACACAAGTTATAATACGTTACATTTTATTGCTGTTTTAGTTTAAACGAAGTCGGGTATGTTTTATGGCAAAACGTTGAACAAATACGTCCAAGTTAATTTTCTGGGTTTTTTTTTGGTTATTTTTTTTTTTGATCAAATATTTATCCATTTTTTCTACTTTGGGTTGTTTGATTCATATGAATACAATTTAGGATAATATATGTCTATTGGTTAGTATTTATAAACAACCAATCAAATCCTTTAAATTTTGAGACAGGACAGATTACAATCCAGTATCAGACCAACGACGCTTTACTGCAGACTTTTTATGATTTTCAACGACCCCAATTGTATCAAATTATCTATTCTAATGTAATTAAATTTAAAAATGTTATTAAAAGCTATGATGTCTGGTTTCATCCTCAGCTAAGTATAAACAGAAAGATATTTAAAACAGTTCTTAAGTAGGCCTACAGATAGGAATACTTAGTATTTTGTTGAACCATTTCGCATAACGCAGCCCTGAAAGCCATAACCTTATTTTTCGTTACGTAAAGTCGAAATATCGAATACTCATCATATGATCGACAATGCAAGAGCAGCTGACTGGTGCACTTACTCCACCATAAAATGCCCGACCAGAATGACCACTGTTGGCCATTCACTCAGACTCAGTTACCTGCTCCTATTGACTCAGGAAAAAGAAAAGGTATATTTTAAAAAAGCGACCGGTACATTTTTCTAGGGGGGAGGGGAGCAAGATTTGATTTAGGGGGGGGGGGGGGAAGCCCCAAGCCTGTGTGACAGGTGTGATATGGAGACAGCTGTCCAGTTGTATATGAGTTTAGTAGCACGTGTAGAATGATGTAATAATTTCAACTCACCATGGTACAGCGACTACCAGCTGGTCTGAGGTACACCACTGGCCAGCTCTAGATCATTTAGACCAAATCCATGGTCATCCCCATCCCAGATCATTCAACTCACCATGGTACAGCGACTACCAGTTGGTCTGAGGTACACCACTGGCCAGCTCTAGATCATTTAGACCAAATCCATGGTCATCCCCATCCCAGATCATTCAACTCACCATGGTACAGCGACTACCAGCTGGTCTGAGGTACACCACTGGCCAGCTCTAGATCATTTAGACCAAATCCATGGTCATCCCCATCCCAGCTCATTCAACTCACCATGGTCCAGCGACTACCAGTTGGTCTGAGGTAAGAAATGAACAACCCATACAAGGTGTAACAGGTGTGACAGGTGTAACAGGTATGATAGGGAGCATGAGTTTAGTAGCACGTGTAGAATGATGTAATAATTTCAATATTCTACGATATGGAAATAAGGAATATGATAAACTAAGTACCAACGCAAAACGAAACCCGAAACCCAAATCAACATTTTCTTTTTGGTGTCGCATTGGTTGCAGGAAAAAGAAAAGGTGTATTTTAAAAAGGCGACCGGTACATTTTTCTAAGGGGGGGGGGGGGGGG